AACGTTATTTGTAATAATTATTTTTGATGCAATATTTGTTTGTCAAATTAAAGGAAACGCTTTCTTTCTGTTCAATGTTTCGAAATATTAACTAGGGGTTATTTTCTAACTTTTTTGTTTGTGTTTCGCTAAAGGTAAGCGTAAGCCTAGTATTGAAAAATAAACCTTGGGTCTCACATTTTTCCAGTGGTTGTTTTAGAAAAACTTCACTTTAGCGTTTGTGTGTTTCCACTTACCTTTTTCGTGCACATGAATTACGGTAATTCTTAATTCATGAGGTTGTTGATTTTGTTGGAAATAAGTTTGGTTGGACTTGAGAAAGCTAAAATATGGAGAAAAACTCAAAAGAGTCGTTTGAGGGAATATCACCTTTTCACCGCACTCAAATTACTATAAATCGTCATATCGCCATGATTAATGAGAAAATAGATAAAATAAGTGATTTTAGTCTAATTGATGTATAGTTCCGTTAACTGAGCATGAGTTAACGAGTTATTGTTAATTTGCGAGCTTCAATGAAAGTACTCTCAAACGAAAATTGTCCTCATCATATCGTAAAACAAACACCAAATTTCCACCATGAACAATGAAGATATCTCTTAACTAGATATTCCAAAGTGTTATCAATCGTAAAAAAATTCCAACAAACTTCTTAAAACGGGAAAACAAAGTTTTCTTAATGTAAATTTTGCTTGCATCACAAGCATCAATTTTCAAAAAATAACAATGCATTGATTTTCTGTGTTTTCGCTTTCAACAAAACACTAAAACTGAGACCGATATCAAATGATATGGCCTTCCCATAAGGGGCGGTTTCTTGAGGTCTCTTCGCCTTATAACTGATCTAAATCCATTGAACATAATTCTTAAAAAAGGCAAATAAAAATGATGATAATGATGTTGACTGTTTTCGACACAGTGAATGCGACTTTATGTTTGAATCGCATGAAAGGAAAAGTTTAGTTACTGTAAATTTTTTTCAATATAATAACTACCTCCTTTTGTCTTCTCAAAGTTATTTCTTGTTGTTTAGTTTTTTCCTGAAGCTTTGAGGCCAAGTAATGCGAACAAATGTCTAGGAATTGCATCTTTTCTTTAGCTCGAAAGTCAAGGAGCACAAATAATGCCATGCAATGTTTGAGCCTATTGGACAGCTACTACAGCATTAGCTTGTAACCTTTCTAATCGAAAGGCAGTATATAATATTATTATTATTATTATTATTATTACTATTATTATAGTAAATATATGAATATGAAAGCCAGCTTGTTAGTTCAGTTGGCAGAGCGCTGCACTGGCATTACACTGGCATTACACTGGCATTTGCAGTATATAATATTATTATTATTATTATTACTATTATTATAGTAAATATATGAATATGAAAGCCAGCTTGTTAGCTCAGTTGGCAGAGCGCTGCACTGGCATTACACTGGCATTACACTGGCATTTGCAGTATATAATATTATTATTATTATTATTATTATTATTATTATAGTAAATATATGAATATGAAAGCCAGCTTGTTAGCTCAGTTGGCAGAGCGCTGCACTGGCATTACAGAGGTCATGGGTTCAAATCCAGTTCAGGCCTGATTTTTTTCCAGACACCTAAATTTTCACTACTGCTCAAGTAGTGTTCTTACTACGAAGATCGCTTTCATGATCGTTTCTTAATGCGCAGTTCGTATGAATGATTTTCATATATTTACAGTCATTTATTCATCGTTTCACGGGTTTATTTGAAACCAGCATAATGACCAGCTCCCAGTTGGCCTATTAGCTCAGTTGTAGAGCGCTGTATCGGTATCATTGAAGTCATCGCGTACAGGCCTGAGCTTATTTCAGGCCCTATTTTCACTGCGGTTCAAGTAATGTACTTACTGCCAAGATCACCTTCATATTAATTTCATAACCCGCAGTTCATATGTATGATTTTCAAATATTAAATCGCATGAAAGAAAGCAACGAAAACGATACATGAATACGACAAGGCCCGTTATCTAACGTATATCGGAAAGCTGAGTAAATTTTCAGCATTCTAAAAATCCAAACAATGAAAGATAAGACTTAACTACTAACGTTGCTCTCTTCATGAGGCTAAAAGTTACAATTTTTGAGTATTGAATAGTAAATGTAATCACTGCGCACGAGTCTATTGAAAGTAACCAGCATCAGATGAACACATGACGCCAATACCATCAGTGCCGTAAGATACGGGAAATGGAAATTTTCAACTTTTTCACTGTTACTGAGACCGAATAGTGGGGAAATCCTCCACAGAATCGAAGATGGCTGGCCAAAGAGACCAGTTAATGTGTCAGACACCGTTAGACAGGACAGTGAGATGTTGCTGTTGGATTCGGAGTCGTGATCTTGTTTTCAAAGCTATATCACCAGTACTTTAAGGAGAACTATTAAGGGACAAGTGGTGGTGTTGATGACGATGGTCATAAAATAACTGACCACCAATAGGACATCTGCTGTGCCACCTTCTTCACTGGTTAAATTTGTAGCCTTTGAAAAACTATCGAGGGAAAAATTTGCCATGTATCATTGGAAACTTAATGCAACTAAACAACCATTTCTACCTGACGTTTACCATTACATAATACGGAGAAAGTCAGGTTTAATTTTTCATCTCCTGGGAATGACTACAGAGTCCACATATGCACGACAACAATACACTACAAAACTGAATCGGAAACGCTTAAGTTCGCCTAATCAGATAAATTTCTGTCAGTCTCTGCCTATAAATAAATCTTAATCCAAAAGTGACTGAAACCCATTTTTAATCCCATCTTACTTATACTGTGAAATTAATTTTTAAAAGTCCAGAATCGTTTCAGCCCAAGAGAGTCCATTCAATTGAAGTTGTGGCAACAACAAGTAATGTCTTGATTGCCTTTTCACATAACATGCTCTAACTTCAGGAAATTATTTCGCTTTCCATGGCTAGATAAATGTTTCGTGCACTTTTAACTCATTAGTTTTCGTCCGTCAATTAAAATTTTGTATTAAAAAGAGAAAATATCAACTCATGATCCTTTGACATCTATTGTGCTTTGGCACCAAGGGCTTAAAGAAAGTATTTGCATTACTGCTTTTTCATGGTCCGTTAAATCATTCGAAAGTTTAAATTTTACTTCTACAGCAGAAGGCCTCGCAATTTGACTCATTACACTATGCCAGGATGCAGGAATTAGAAAGTAAACTGATTTGAATACATGTTGAGCGTAACTGCTCAGAAAATTATGAAAATTATGAAAATTTTTACTTTTAGGAATAAGGTTGAATTAAATAAATAGCAATAAGATTAAGAAAAAGGATTTGTTCAATACCGTTTTAAAACGAGGAAATAACTTTTACATGCCGCATGGATTGATTGAGTTTGCAAGTGATGTGAGCCAATCACTCGTGTAATTTCATCGGTTCACGATGCATTTTGCGGCAGCTGGAAGCAAGGGTTTTTTACGGAAACACAAGAAAAATTTTGATGAGTAAAAAGTCTCGAACGTACGGAACAATTCGATATGTTTTGTGCAAACCACACTTTTACTGAATATCGACTTAAAACGTTCCTTAGGTCGTTGCTTTCACGGTCCTAATTTTCATGCTCACGTAACGGGCCACGTGCACGCTTTTAGCTCCATCTTTTTCCCCTTCAATAATCCGTTTTAATTTCTCCAATTTACAGGGGATAATTTGTACACCAAATTTATGCAATAAAAAATATAGGTCAACGTGCTCGTTCAAGAGCTGAAGACCATCGTACCTCTTTACCCGGTCCATGCGCGCGCGATTACTCGCCTGATTACTTTTAGTTTTTATTTCCAGTACATGATGTGCAGTGAAATATTAAAGAATCACCTTCAAAGTTATTTCCTCGTTTTCGGTCCTCGCGGGAAGCTAGGCTGTTTATTGCAATTACTACCCATTATATTCAACCTGTTTCCTTACAGCGAAGCATCATTCTATCAAAGGAAAAGAGAAATGTAAAATAGATTTCAGAGGTATGTTTCCCATAGGTAACCGATTTAATTTCCATACTTAAGATTAAGGCATTCTCTTTCCTGGATAATACGATGTGTTATCAATTAATCGCAAACCATAACTAAAGAAACTCTTACAGCCTTCGTAAACGGGCGAAACAACATTTTCTTCATGCGTATTTCGTTTGCATCATTTGCCTCATTAGCAATCGTTCAAAAACTATTCATAATTTTCTGAGCGGCTGCGCTAAACATGTGTTTATTTTTTTTTTACCTTATTGCTCTCCTATCTTTGTTTCATTGATTTGAATTACGGAATACTGCGAGGAAAAGTGGGAGGTTTACGCCCAAGGCAAATTGTAAAACCACGGCACGGAAGATCATGGGACCGGTGTCAAATCATTTGATATTTTTAAAGAATCTTTCTTGAGGAACGGTGAGCTTTAAACTCAAATTGATTTACATATCAATGGCCATGAAAAAGCCGCGAAATTGATGTCAAACTAAAGAATTGGTATATGTTTTTCTTTCAATGCAAATCTAATCTAACGAACGAAGACTAATCAGTTCATGAAACACGAACCACTTATCAATCGATCGATAGCGAAAAATAATCCTCAGAAATTAAGTGATTTTTTTTCTTCACGTACTTGTCATCACGTTCGGTCGAGCTCTCAAGCGCTGAAACTATTTTTGGCAATACGTGGAAAATCTAATTAAAAAATGACATCAATCACTTTAGGAATAGGGTTTATTAATGGCAGAGCTACAGGAAAATCCTTTTGATTAGGCGGCGTTTAGCGATTCTGATTCAGCTTTTTCCTATATTGTTGCTGGACACATGTCGAATGAAAAGTTATTCCCAGGAGATGCTTAAACCATTCTCTATTAAAGGCGTAAGATTTTCTCTGCCTTTACCTGCCTCCGATTTCATGCCAGAGACAGAACGCCTGCTTAAAAAAGTTGTTCTGAGACACATACTTGTCTCGCATATAGCCTCCAAATCGACATGGTAGACGTTTCCTTGACCAGTTTTACAAACTTTACAAACAAAACTAGCAGAGAAGACGACACAGCAGATGTACCTCCAGTGGCTGGTGCCATAATCATAATCATCATTAACACTATCACTTGTCCCTGCACAGTTCTGCTTAACGTACTTGTGATAAAGGCTGTGAAAACGACGCCTCGACTCCGTACCAACAGCAACATCTTGCTGGCCTGTTTAGCGGTAACTGATGCCTTAACTGGTATCCTTGGCCAGCCATTCTTTGTCCTTTGGAAGATATTCCTATTATTCGGTCTCAGTAACAGTAAAACGTTTGAAAACTGCTACTATGGAACTGTAATCATGTTGCTTATAGCTTCATACCTTCATCTGATGTTGGTTACTTTTGAGAGACTCGTAGCCATTAGATTTACGATGCAATACCCAAACATTATAACTGAGAATAACATGAAGATAGCTGTGTTAGTAGTTTGGATCATTTCTTCTATTTGGGGGATTTTTGAGGCGATGGAATTGGATCTAGTGCTACGTTTTATGTCTGGCTCTGTTACTTCTTCATGTATTATTTTCCTTTGTGTCGCTTATTTCATCATGTATCGTGAAACACGTCGTCACCAAGAGAAGATAAAAACTCAACAACTGCCCCAGGAAGAAGTGGAAAAATTCACCAAAGAAAACAAAGCGCTTAAGACAACTTTATATGTAATTTGTGCTGTTCTTTTTTGCCTCCTTCCACTTTGTTTCTGTCTTATAGTTACAGCTACAGGCCTTTATGCGTCTTGCCCCATCGATCTGTCATTGATGCAAACTTTTACCATGTTTAACTCGCTTGTTAATCCACTGATTTACTGCTGGAGACAAAAAGAAATGAGAAATGTCATTTTTGGAATACGAACCCAGGTCGCGCATATAAACAACCAGTGAAGGAAGGCAATTTAGAAGAGAGTGTCAAAACCTTTAATACTACACATCTAAACTTTGCCAACGATTCATTTGATGTTCGTGTGGTATTAAACTATACTCCATGCTAAAGCCAGACACCTCGTTAGTGGTTATCAAATAAGCTAAAGATCAACTAAATATTTTGCAACAATACATTGCTATTTTTAAGAGGCCTTGTACAGAAACCCTCTACTATAGCGTGCATGTGTTTCCACTTATCCTTTTCTTGTGCATGAATTAAAGTCATGATTCTTATTAATTGTGGGTAAAATTAATGCGTTTGTTAATTTTTATTTGAAAATAATAAAAGGTAACAGGTAAAATAAGGTAAAGAAAACCCAAAAGAGTTGTGCGAAGGTAAATCGCCTTTTTTACCGCATTAAAGTGCTCGTGACACGATATATTTTTTGCGTAAACATTTAGCTTATAATTCCAAACCAATTCCGATGGAAGAAAAATTTCCAAAAACTTAAAAAAATCGGTATTTTCAGGTCCTAAAATGCTCTTATTTTGTCTTAAAAGAGTCCCGTGGACTGGTAACGAATTAGCGGGTGATGTTACGCAACAGGATATCAGTCAGCTCAGGAAAGGGCGCGAACTTTGATACAAATGATGTATTTCTGTTATTAAAATATATAAGAAAAGTACAAATGTAGTCATGTGGAAAAACAAGGAATATGATTACGTCTCAAGCGCGTGAAATAAACAACAGTAAGGAACTCACCATTCTTCGCTTGCGAAATGTCAACCAAAAGGAATGCTGAACAATCGCGTTCGGTGTGAGAACAGGCCCCTTTGATCCACATTATTTTTAGCTGAATTCATTGGTTATCTTCCCCTGATTTGAATGGTGGTATATGTTCGTAACAGCCCTCTTGGAAGCCGGTACGCAGCATAAGGCCGACGACATTGAAGAGTAAAATCTTCTCGATGTTGACGATCGAAACGCATCCATCTTGGCCATACAGCTACATCCTTTGGAAAGGAGTATATAGAAATCCCCGGTATACCGGTATACGTGTAGTATCTTTGAAGCTGACATCATTTGGCGCCCCGGACATGCAATACGATCGTTCTTTCTTCTAGATTTCTTCTTTCTACACAGTAGTTGCCGACATGTGACTCGATCGTTTTGGCCGCGCGTTTAATGGGGGCGCTTTTTGACCGCCACATCGTACTTTCAATGCACCAAAAAAATGGTCAAGGAGAACTCGCTAGGTCGGTTATTACTAATCTTAAATACAGCTATCATCTAGAAATGACAAAATTTCGTGTCATAGGCACTTTAAATTTACTGTGAATCGTGCGGAAATGAATGATTCTACTGTTATTGCGGATGTAAACTCAGCAAAACTAGGGCGAATAACCAATTTTATTGTAAATGATGTCAGCTTTAGTAAAAGAACTGACAGACCGTTATTTTTCTCGGTTTATCTTACGATCTTAAGCTAAAACATTGGGTAATCGTTCTCGCTTTTTAGTAAAATTGCTGACAACCAGATTCTGAGTGTATTTTTATTGTTGACGTTGCCGAAATTTAATTTTATTGATTTTGCATTTCTTTACCGAACTTTCAAGAACTGTCCATAACACCGCTGAGACCTCTGATATGTAAACCGACTGTCACACCGACGCAATAAACTTGCATTTTGCTGTATTGGATTTTTCATGTTGCTTGATATTTGATCTAAGTAAGCTGACCTACGTTTAAGAGTATTTTGAAACATTACATACGAGTGAAGGCAAGTCAAATGTCAGTAGTTTCTCTTGGTTTGTTAGAAGTCCAGTAACCGCAGATTAATGCTGTCCTGAAATTATTGACGGACTTCTGCGCTTTCGTAGCCAAGCGAGTGTTCTAGTTTCCCCTGGATGATCATTCGGTTAATCACTTTACAATCGTTGCCTCAGCAAAGTGGAATATTATATTACTCTCTTAACCATGAAGCTATGGTAACAATTGGATCGAGTGAATATGGAGATGGTTGGCATCGACTGCGAACGGTCATCTTCAATATTTAGGCAGATAAGATTAGCATAGTGAGCTAAGTACCAACCGACATCAATGAAAAACATCTCAGGGATAACTTATTCAATTTTTGCTCTTGCTATTGTACATTACATATACCGCGAAGGTCGTCGGTTTTAACAGACGATGGCCAAATTAACTAACGTTCCTCCTTTACTAAACACATGTTTCCTTTGCAAGTGTTTTCCGCTTTAGTTTCAGCAAGTAAGTATTGAACCTAAATCAAGTGCTTAGCTCTTTTGAAATTGCATTCAGAGAAGCATCAAGTGATCATTTTTTTTTTAATGACCTTATCCTTTTAAGCTCCTTGTCTCGCTTTTCTTTGTTAACGGTTATTTTGATTTTGTTTGTTAAAAAATTGAAATACACTTCAGTTCAATACACCTAGTTCAACATTTTTTCTTTTCATATCTTAACAGCATGCCTCCTACAACGTTATAAGGTGTTACACAACGGTTCCTACATCTCATCAGTTGCCTACAGCCTCAATTTTGGAATTTATTTTCTTTGTGATGATGTTGTTGTTGTTGTTTTTTTCCTATAGGAGTCTTTTTTTTTCAAGGTCCCTCATTCAAGAATATTTCACCACAATTTATGTAAGATAATAACGCATGTTATATAATAAATCTACCATTATGATAGCTGATATACTGTCTGTCGGTCAGAAATGTTACAAGCTGTCCAATAGGCTCTAATTGCAGAACATTCAAAAAGAAAATCTTCCCTAACATTGCATGGCGTTATATGTGCTCCCTGACCTTAGCCTTTGGGGAACGATGCAATTCCTATACACTTGTTAGCATTACTTGGCCTCAAAGATTCAGGAAAAATTCAACAACAAAAAAATAACTTTGAGAAGAAAACGCGTAGTTATTATCTAGAAGAAATAAACAAGAATTAGGCGTTTCCTTTGATGCAATACGAACATAATCGTTGAATTGTGAGTTTCTTGTTCTGACTCGAAAAAACAAAGGAAATGTTTTTACTGTAGAATCTTTTTAGTGATTGTCCTGCGTGCGCCCGTTTTTTTCTTTCTATTTAGCTTGACACAAAATTTTCGAGGTGGTCATTTGGTAAAACTCTTATCACCTGAGTTTGGTCGGGTCGGATGAGAAAATAGCTCTCGGTAACGAAGCAAGGATCATAAGGATCACTCTGCTCTCGCTCCGCCTCTTTCTATTTAGCTTGACACAAAATTTTCGAGGTGGTCATTTGGTAAAATTCTTATCACCTGAGTTGGTCGGGTCGGATGGAAAAATGGCTCTCGGTAACTAAGCAAGGATCTCTCTGCTCTCGCTTCGCGGGACATAACCTCGACCCAAATATTTTCCCGTCCAGCCATCCCACTCAGTCAATAAATACATAATATTTCACATCTGTTTTTGTTTGACACCTGAGGCTTAAAGACATGAGGGGACGCAAGCGGCCTCAACTGTAAGTACTTTTTAGAAATGTTAGGATATTATCCTAGCATTCCTAACATTCCGAGCTGCGCGAGAGTGTCAAAATCCGTGCGTATGTCACAGAAATGTCACTAGACCTAAACTACGCCAGATGAGGGCGAATAAATATGAGAAGATAAATGAATTAATGCCTGATATCAAAATGTCATCAGTTAATGCTTTTGTTTCACACGTAATCAATAGTACCTTTATTCCTCGGCCGGTTCCTTTGCGTTACATTGTAGATTATAAAAAGAAAAAAATCCACACGATTTATTTGTTGGAGTTTTGTTTTACGATTGATAGCACTTTGGAATATCTTGATGAGAGGTGGCTTCATTTGTCAATGAAAACAGGAACTGTCTGAGAGTACTTTCAATGAAGCTCACAAAATTTATAATAAAATGGTTAACTCACGCTAAGTTAACGGAATTATACATCAATTAGACTAAAATCACTTATTTTACCTATTTTAGTGAGTCTTCTCATCTATTCATGGTGAATTCACGGTCGATACCAATTCTACCCTGACTGCGGTGAAAAGAAGGTGATATTCCCTCAAACAACTCTTTAGGATTTTTGCCATATTTTAGCGTTTTCAGGTCCAACCACATTTATTTTGAATTATATAATTGAGAATTACTATAATTAATGCACAAGAAAAAGGCAATTGGAATCATTTATCGTGATCAAAAACATAATAGATAGGAAAACTATGACTAAGGAGTCTTGTTTATCCAGTGTATGGAAAAGACGTAGGGAAAATTTTACATGTGTAGTTATCAAGTTGTTACCCTTTCTTTTACATTGCCCTCCTTCACTGGATATTTACAGACACGATCCGGGTTCTTAGTCCAAAAATGACCTTTCTCATTTCTTTTTGTCTCCAGCAGTAAATCAGTGGATTAACAAGCGAGTTAAACATGAGACATGTCAACCTCCATCGTCCGTTGATTGGGCAAATCTCATAGAAGCCTGTATTTTTTACGATAAAACAGAAACAAATCGGCAGAAGGCAAACAGTAGCAGCACCAACTATAAACACAGTTGTCTTAAGCGCCTTGTTCTCTTTGACAAACCTTTTTACTTCATCTTGGGGAAGCTGCTGAGTTTTTATCATTTTTTGGTGCCGACGTGTCTCTCGGTAGATGGTGAAGTAAGTGAAAGCAAGAAAAAGAATGTTTGAAGTAGTGATAAGGCCTGTTAAATAACGGGATACTATGTAGACAGTCATTCTTAAAATACCATTGATGAAAACAAAGATCCAAACTGATAGCACTGCTATCTTCATGCTATTGTAAGTAACAATTTTTGAGTATCGCATCGTAAATTTGATAGCTATGAGTCTCTCGAATGTAACCAACATCACATGAAAGAATGAAGCTGTTAGCATTACAGCAATAAATGTGGAACAGAAATGTTCAACTGTTGCATTAATACTGAGACCGAATAATAGTATTATTATCCACAGGATAATCAAAGGCTGACAAAGGAGACCAGTTAATGCGTCAGTT